TGTATAAATTGGCTGCAGCATTTATCTACAAATACACAGACACGACACTTCACAGTAAAATCTTGTGAAGCACTTTGAAATGTCTCAACAACGTGATAAGGCGCTATATCAGATGCAAGTTTTTTTTATATAACTTTCTCCTGAGGAAGAGGCACATCAACAGCACCTGATCATCCTCAGGTGTTCGACCAAACGCCTTTATTCAAATGTGATCCAAGACAACTGAGTGTTGGCATTTGACCTCCACACATGTACAGTTTTCCTACAAAATATGCAGTCACTGCACTTTACAGTGAATCCTATGAAGAATATTGTAAAATGAATTGAGATCCACATAACATCCAATGGCTCGAAGAATCTGCTTGGTGGACTTTGTTGAGATGTCTCTTGATGTGAATGGCGATATTTTGCCCACAGATATACAGTCAATTCACTTTACAGTATATTTTGCGAAGTGCTTTGAAACGTCTGGAAGATGTGATAAGGAGTTAAATCAAATGCAAGGATTATTATTAATATTATTACTATTATATGAAATGCAAAGATTCTGATCAGTAGCATTATTAGCTTGTCAGCACAGTTAATTCGGTAGTGATTAGAAATGAGGTACAGGTTAAACTGTAAATCTTTAGAGGGGAGGGCACTGCCTCCAGGCATACCACCCCTACTGCTGGCAAAAATGAACCAACCCACAGAAACTAGAGATTGCTCTTGGAACATTTGGTGTACACGGTTCTATTCATTCCATGGAGGAGGTTTAACAAGTAAGCCACTTGGGGAAATTAAAACATTTTCTTTGAAAAGGTTTATTTTAGCAATTTAATTGGCATTAATGCAGTATGATAGAATTTTCAGTGCTCTGATTTGTGCAGAAATGCTAATAACTCATCACCCCAGAGAGCCTGTTTTCAGTCACTTAATTTAACCGCAGCTTCGAGGGGGTATATGGTTAAAATGAGATTGTCAGGAAAAAGATCAGATAGTTAATGGATGACTTAAATTTGGAAAAAATCACCATGTATGAATGGAAAATGTTAGTCTTTGCACTTCAATCCATAGTCCAATGAGTCCAATAGACTTGGTTGAGATCACATACAAAATATTGGATCCAGTTTTGGTCACTGTACCTACGATTAACAAGGTAATAGAGAGGACTCAAAGCAGAACATGGGCTATTTCCAGCTTTGTAGCTTAGCAAGCTATGAACAGAAGGAGGTCAATTTGTTATCATTAAGAGGGAAAAGATGACAGGTAGAAGAGTTCCAAGTTTAATATTGTGATAGGAATTGATGGGGTGAATTTAGATGTACAGTATATTGTTTTTTTTGTGTGGAAGTCCGAACCAGGGACATGATTATAAACGAGATTACTCTATAGGCAGCAGAGTAACCTGATTTAACTCTTGGCCCATTTATCTCTGATTTCTACTTTGTATTTAAACGTATTTTCAGCTGGCTTGATGTATTTGAGGAGGTATCATCTTTCATTCCCTTGGGGTAGGCTGACACTGAAGTAGTGAATGAAGAGAAAGAAGGGCAAGCACTTATGAAAGTGAAGGCCAAGCAACACTGTCTTTTGATCTGATCCTTTCAGATCTCTCCCCTCCCCCACCTGACTGACTGTATCCCAATTATTGTAGTCAGCTGTTCATTAAATGAGTCCAGTATTCGGCGCTCTACCACCCTTGACGGTAACCCATTCCATTTATTAATTATCATCTGTGTGCAGAAACACTTCCTGGTGTCTGTCCTGAAATTACCTTTCGCACCCTGAACAGAACAACAAATTATACTTGTATAGCGCCCTTCACGTCAGAAAAACATCCCAGGGCCCTGGACAGTGAGGGGTTTTTGGATCCGAGCTGGGAATTGTGGTCCAGAGGGGTGGAGGGCAGGGGGTTCAGGGTGGGAGGGTGGCATGACACTGGGAGAAACTGTTTTTTCAGATAGTGACATGGGATCTTTAATGAAGGCACGGTCAAAGAACCTGTGAAGTTGTGCCCTCTTGTCCTAGAAGAGGGCACAATCCGTTTACTTGACTTTACAGGCGGAAAAAGGATACAGATTTGATGTCGGGAAAGGATTACAAAATTTCCATGTTCTATGAGAGTCCTAAATGTTAAATAATAAATGAGAAAAACAATAAACAGATAATAAATAATAAATGAAGACACTTGCGTCACTGATGATCTACTTTATAGCTACTTTGATTGCTTAAAACAATGTACTTTTTCAAAGGTTGAGGATGTTGTAAATTTTCAGTTAATGGTGCCGTTCAGGTGACAAGCTTCATGACTTAAGCAACTGCATGATATCAATCACATGACTGATAGCCATTTTTGTTGGGGGGCAAAGGGGGTTGAGGTGTGTGTGTGTGAAGTTAATATTAAATCTTTTAGCTGGTACATATCTGATTGTAATGTCAGATTGTCTTCCTGATGATTCTACTGCAAACGTGGAGTAGTCTTGCTTGGGGGTATTAATTGAATTATTTTGGCTATGTTACCACTTGAAAAAATAATGAAAGAGCTGGAATTGGACAAACAGATGAGATAAGAAATTATGAGGAATAATTGAAGGCGCACAGAATGCTATTTGTCAGATGCAGCGTGCCTGCATCTGCTAACCAATACAAATTAATGGCAATATGACCGCAGGTAGAATCTAATTTATTGTTTCAGGATTGATGGATGAAGCAAATATCTGCGACCTAAAGCATGTACTATCTTGTGCAGCCTGCTGAGGCTGGAACTTATTCTCCGTTGAAACTGGGGTTTCCATTTTTATTTTTGCAGACCTACACGGGGTGCATTTTGAACTCATCAAAAGCCAGATCTTCACTTAATTGCCCCAGGGAATCGGAGTCTCCCTCATTGCAGCTCTGTTTGAATCTCCTGAAGTATCGAAAAGCAAAATGAGTGATAGTGTTGTGATTTTTTCTAAGACAGTTTATTTTTCACCCCGTCTTTCCCTTCCGGTGAGGCTTCAGTGACTGGTTTGCTAACTGGTAGGTGTGAGCTGTAAACCCTGGCATTGTCTTGTCATTCAAATCCATCGGTTGTGCTGGTCGCAATGTTGATCAATCCTTGACCAGACCACTAGGTGGAAGCCTGCTCTGTAATTAATGGTTTCACCTGGGTTTGAGAGAGTCAACAATGCCTTGTGACTTTGTACAAACCCACATCGTGTTGAGCAGTGCAGGAGTGATATTGGAGCAAGATCAGACAGAAAGCTGGTCACTTGACAAGGAATGACCTTTTAACTTTGTGTTAGCCTAAACGGAGAACACATAAAAGTTTCTTTTGTGACCACGTATGACCACAGACCATTCAATGAGAATATTTTGATCCAATTTGAATTGAAAACCGCTTGTTCCAATTCATTGAGGCTGCAGGAAAGAGGGAACATGTTACAGTACTTCTCTCAAGTTTTCTTCTGCACCCAATGGAAGGTGAGTGATTCCCACCCACGTACCAGTTTTTAACTGATGTATGGTCTCATTAGTATGCTTGAAGAGGCCTTGGATTTTAGATGTGATAGATGATGCTGAATTGTAAACAAATGATGCTTTATAGGCTTCACACTGGTTATTTCAGGCCTTTATCTATTTGTTTCTGAGACTGCATTTGAAATACTGTCGTCTCTCTTATCAAAAGGATTAAAGTATTGAGAAGCCCAGCAAGCATTCCAGGGCTTCAAATGCTAAACTACAAAAATAGGTTGACAGAATTAGGCATTTCATTGTCGAAAAGGAGCTCAAGAGAGGATCTGATCTGGATCTTTACGATGCTGAAAAACCCATTCATTTTGGATGTGGCAGGCAGATTTTTTTTAAAATCTAGTTTCAACTGTGATCAGAGCTCCAGTTCCAAAATGGGCACAATTCAAGCGCTCTAGGATGCTACCCTGCATGAGGAGCGCTATATAAATCAAGTTATTGTTGTTGTTGAGTTGGCAAGCATCAAGCGAGATTGTAGTTTGCAAGATTTCTTCCTCCTCAACTTGCAACATAAACAACAGATTTCAGGGGTAATTTCCAATTGAAATGATGTATCGATCCACTGAAATGAAGCTGGATGATTACAAAAGGACTAAACACCAAATGGGATAATGAGAACCATAGATTATCAAATGCTCTTAGGAGCACTGTGGACTCATTCCCATTCCAACTACAGTGCTACCTAACTGGTCAGTATTGATTTTCTTTATTTTGCTTGATTGTTTCTGTGTGTCAGAAAGCAATTTCACCTGGCTTTTCCTCTGGGAAAGATGTGGCCCCTGATTGTTCACCTGCCTCAGTCGATGAAATTAATTACGTCAAGTCTATGAAAATACAAACTGAAGATGGTAGGCTAAATTTGTCCATTTTGTTATTTATGTTCTTTACGAGATCACGAGACAGGTGAGGATGACCGAAGGCGTAGCCCAAGAGGAAGGTCTTGAGATGGGCCATGAAAAAGGCAAGAGGGGGTGACCAGAAAGGTTTCTTAAATGAGTCCCAGTGCCCTCGCCTCAACGACCCTTCCAAGTATCCCGTTCTCAGTCATGAATTGCCTTCTGTGGAAAAAATACTTCTTGGTATCTGTCCTGAAATTGTTCTTTACAAGTCTATCCCTTGTGTCTGCCAACTGGCCATATCCGAAAGTATTATTCTGGGGTTTTATGATCTGCAGTATGGTGACCTGGCTGGTTATTTGCGGCATTTGACTGCTGGTTAGGAGAATGCCGGCTATTTTTGACTGTTGGAGTCTGATCTGGTGGAAACGAAGGCGAACTGATCAAATTACCATGTGAAAAATCCTTTATTTATGGAGCCTTTGCCAATTTCAACTCTAAATGAGACTGCTGATGGAGCGGAAGCTGTGGGACATGAACACGTGCTTTGAACGCTGACTTTTGCTCTTTGCTCTCCCCCACAAGCGTCACGTCTGTATATGAAAGAAAGATGGAAGATCAAGTGAGGAAAGATCACTTGGCACTAAACAATCAGAAGTTACCAGGAAGAAGTAAATCAACAACTGAATGTTTTGCAGAGGTCAAAGTAAGTCAGTGACAAAATCAGAGCAAGAAATCCCAAAGGAAATCATTATATAAGTGACATTTTAGACAATAAACATTGAAGTAACAAACTTTGACATTGAATTTCAGATTGATCATTGGTTTTGAAATCAGAAGACTTTTTTTGATGTGGGAAGAATCTGTGATGACAAAACTCAAGGGCAGTCAATCCGCTGAACATTCAGGTATGGATATTATCTAGTTATTTGGCTCAAGCTGTTGTAGGTGGAATGCATGGAATTATCAGTTTAGTTTGGATACTCTTAAGCATATGGTGATAGGTTTTTGCATGTGTCAGATGCCCGTCTCACCAAAAAAAGCTGTATAGTGTTCTGATCCGACTGCACTGTAAGGGATTCGGATGGAGATGACCACCAATGTTGTGTAATAAACCAAGGTTTATTAAATATTACAAATAGCTTCACTAATTCTTAAAACTGAGACCATGGATACAATAGAATCGATATGATTCCACTGAGAAATGTGCTGACCGTCTACGGCAACTCCCAACTATTTCAGTCACGTCTTTCTTTTATGTGTTTCTAACTCCACCTCCTCTTGTCCCAGAGATGGCTCCCACCCTTCGCAGCTGCTAGCGATCTTGGCAGGCTCTTTTCGCATGGGAAACTAACTGATAAGGAGAAAGAGAATTGGACAGCTAATTGGGAGGATTCTGCCAACTTCCTGTTTCTTAGTCTTGAGATAACAGATGAGCCCCGTGTCTACACATCTGTGCTCAATGACATGATTACTCACTTCTTAGATGGGAGGATGACATGGGACCCAGGCACCAAACGAGGGAAAGTTATCAGAACCTGACCTCAGCTGGGGTCAAGCCAATATATCTTTACCTTTGCGAACACTAATTGGCGTATGTACCCTCTCAGGGGCCCACAGCTAGTTATTAAAAACACACACCCTTGTTCATGCCCTAATAATTAAGGAATGCTATACTAAAAAGATTATCACAAATATAATCTTATAGCACCAAGAGTATTTCATACGCTGCAATATAAGGGGGCTGCCCTTGAGGCAGTGCAGAGGAGAGCAATGAGGATGATTCCTAGTATTAGAGGCATGACAATGATTAACGGTTTGACAAGCGAGGGCTCTTCAGTCTTGAAAGGAGATGACTCACAGGAGCACGTAACTTTAAATCCGATTGAAAAAGTAAATCCAGAAGAACACCAAGATAGCAGAACAAGAGGACACACGTTTTGGGTTGCTTACTCATTTAATAAGCAACTTGATGATGTGATTGAAGGGCGAGTGTTCTGAAACAATGAGATCTGATGGGAGAAGGGACTCCTTCATCCAAACCTCTTATGATCTTGTGATTGGATTTATGTGAATTGCTGTGAGTTCCAATAATGTTTTTTTGGGGGAAAAAAGAGAAATCTTTTAATCTGCTCATAACAAGCAGTAAATTGAGACCAGATCTGCACCGTTCGACATCACACCATATTAATGCATGATTAACCTGAAGTCCTATCAGCCTGTTCTGGTGGATGTCAAAGAATCATATAGAGAAGGAAGTTTCTCCTATTGTCCTGGACAGTATTGCTCCTACACAAATATTTCTCCAGTTTTTTTAGGGAAGTTGATACAATTGGTTTCAACTGCTTTAAGATTGAAAATATTAAGAGTAGCACAATGTGCCACTCAAGAAATTTTAAGGGCAATCTTAAGAGTTTAATCGAGTGTGATACAATCCCAATTTATAATGCAGGTGATGAATCGATTTGATACTTGAAACATGCTCCTGAGGTTTAGGAACAGAACTCAAAATCAAATCAATGCCCCCTGAAGCCCTGTACCTTTGGCAGTGATTCAACTTGAAAATAACATTTTATGGACATTAACTGTGCAATACATTAGGGCATTAAAGGCTTTGATCAGATATACTTTTTTTTCCTCCTCATATTATTTTTCTACTGAAAACTTTCAGCTCTCTGACTTCCTCAGTTTAATGTGGAGCTCTGAGATGTGGAATTAGCTCCGCTTTCCACTTAAACCCTGCCCAATGATCATTTGTGGAGTCCTGTACCATATTGGTTAGAGCAATCACTTCGCAAGCGAAAGTACCTGGGTTTGATTCCTGAGCAGGGCAAAATGAATGGGAACTTTCCTTACTCCACACCTCTATTTAACTATCAAAGATTATTATTATTGAGTATTGGCAGGCTTCCATTGAAGTTTGAAGAGCTCTGGAACGTCATCCAGACGTGAAAGGCGCTACACAAATGTCATCTGTTGATGTTGTTGAATGAAACTCAGAAAGTTTTGTCAGTCTTCTATCTTCTAAGTATAAAAAATTGTCCAGGGATATGAATTTTATGAAAGAAATGTGTAAGATTTTAGCAAGGGCTGATTTTGCACTGATTGGGCTTGTATATGTGGGGAACACCAGTTACTCATTGATTCTGCTCCAGGGTAAAGCAATTTACTGAGTGAAATGAAAACAGTTGTCTGGGTTGGAGTGATCGATACAAAATGTTCACCATCAAATTGGGTTCTGTCTTCAAGTAATATAACCTGTGCGATAGATGTAATGGTTTGGATGACGGTACTTAGTAACTGTTTAGAGAAGTGGGGTCCCTCTTCACCTGCATTCTATTTGAGATTGAAAGTTGTGCAGGAGCTACGTATGGTTCATGGTCTAACTCATTTAAGAGACATAAACCACCTAAAGTGGAGAGAGAGAGGGGCGGGTTGAAAAGTGTGACAAATGTCACACTTGGTCACCTCAAATCAAGTTTGCAGAATGACTAAAGTGGGGGGAATGTTTAAATCCTCAGGCACATAAACGACCAAGGCAAGTCCCAGGATTGCTGGTGATGAGAATTGGCACTCTAGCTAGTCTCTTAAGTAAGATGACAGTACAGAATACCTGTCATTTGGAACCAAGTTTTGAACATTGAGATGTCTAGAAGACGTGAAAAGTGCTATATCAAATGCAAGGTTTATTATTATAGAGTTAAATCTGCCAACGGCACTATTCCTGGTGGGGATTGCAACCGATTGAATTTTATATTAATAATAATCCTTGCATTTGATTTAGCTCCTTATCATGTATTTGGAAAGTCCCAAAACTTTTCATGGAATATAGTGTAAAGTGAATTGACTGTATTTTTTGTGGGCGAAACATGTCCCACAAACAGTCCTAGGTAGAGTGACCAATTTATTATTTATTTTTTTGAAGGGATTATTGCCTCCGGAAAGGCGATCCGCCAATTGACTAACAACTGGGTTCCTACTTACTGCTAGGTAAACAGAGTTTATAAGTAAGGAAACTAGCCTAACTTTTCACCCTGCCTGGGAATCGAACCGAGGTCCTCTCACTTGCCAGGCGAGTACACAAACCTACAGATACTACAGGACTCCACAGTTTTCTGCAAACTGTACAAAAACTGTGACATCTACGTGCTACTGTAAATGGATTAAATGCCAACCGTATTGATCTCCAGACAGGAGCCTACAATATTCCAACTGGTATCCTCTCAGGCCTTGTTGCATGTTTCTAACTCCGAATAAGACCATAAGAAGTAGGAGTAGGCCATTCGGCCCCTCAAGCCTGCCCCGCCATTTAATAAGTTCATGGCTGATCTTTGAACCTAATTCCATTTGCCCGCCCTATCCCCATAGCCCTTAATCCCTCTATCCTTCAGAAGTCTATCAACCTCAGTCTTGAATATGTTCAAGGACTGAGCATTCACAGCCTTCTGAGGTAGAGAATTCCACAGATTGTTGTGAAATGACCATTTCCTTACTTCTTTGCTGTATAGTTTCATTTTCATCCTTTTGCCAATGTTTTCTTTCCATTTTTAGATTTATAACCTGAAGTAACCATTGGTTTAATGATCCAGACTAATGCTGTTAATCTGGATGTCAGTTTAAGTATGATAATTAATGATTCGTAAATTAATATACTGTAACTTGTCAGAATGTCCTCAATTTCTCTCTTAGTTTATAGCTTAGATTTCTCCCTCCTCCTTCTCAGTCTTGTGATCAATTTAAACCTGTTTTCCTGAGCTGAAAAACACGATCTGAAACCAGGCCATTAACTGCACAGGGAATCCAATTCATTGAACTCAAAGCAGTGCACAGTGAAGAGATCTGCTGAGGGTGGGAGTAGATATTTCAAATGAGAAAATCCTGATTCACTTTATATTAAAAAAAATCAAATGGCTATTTATCTGGTCTGAGCCTCATTCAACACACTGGTCTTTTTGACGGAATACCTTTTTAATAGTTTGCCTAAAGGAAGAATGTAACTTACTTAGCCATAGTGCAAATCTGGGTTTGACTAGCTCATCAATGAGACATAGAGGCATACACATGGTTTGAATTCTGCAATCCAAAGCTCATACTGGTAGGGCAGTTCCTAATTAGTGCAGTGAAATTTCTCGGGGTGCTATAATGAATCTTAATAGTTTCCGATTTTAATTGAGAAAAATCAGTATTTGTTCAATTTTCTTCAAATTGAGGAAAATGAATTCCAATTATTACTTTTTTTAATACTTTTTGTATTGCTTTAAGCCACAGAAATGGCCAACGTCTGGATACAGTACAATTTAGACTTGCAAAGTACCTTTCACTTTGGTAGCATGTCGTCCAAAGCATTGAAATGTACAGTTGCTATGGATGTTGTTCTCTGTATGCAGGAAGTGGTGTTAGCAAGGCTACCTGGGCATAGTGCAAAGGAAATGACATCCATAGTGATCTTACGACCTGGAAGTTGGACTTTTTTGCAATCAAAGACTGGTAAAAATAAAACACAAGAGAAATAAACCTTACCAGTTGAAAATTAAAAACTCTAAACATCAGAAACTGCAATTATTATTTGGGTGCGGCATTTGATTGAGAATATAAAGCTACCTCGTGATCTAGCCAAAAGGTGAGCAATGCACATTAGGATGATAGGTAGATCTTGAACCTCTAGATTGTGAAACAAATGTTCTTTCCAATTCTGTATCCATGCTTGGCACTCAGCCAGACAAGGATTTAGTTCTCAAACTGTTGGCAGCAATTAAAAATATCTACTCTTAATATATGGATAAAAGAATTAAATTTTTATGGGTAAATTTGATTTTGGCTGGATTATTGTCTGCCGTCGTAAAGTCATGTCTCTCTCTCCTAAATATATTGTCTGATCATCAATCTATCTACTGCCCCATGTTTTATC